GGCTGCCTCGCTTTCCTCCAAAGGGATTCTTCACCACAAACTCAAAAGAGAGAAGATAATGACTAGAAATATGAAAATTACAAGAGAAAAAAAAATCTCATTTATGAAAGCAAGCATATACTAAAGGTAATAGTTCAACAACTTATAAAGTTAGTAAAATGATTTAAAAAAAAAAGTAGTAAAATCATCCAAAGTAGTTGAGGGATATAAATAGGGATATAAGCAAAAAGATGAAAAATATGATTTCAAGACCATTAAACATTGTGGGGAATGGGCAGTAAAAATACAGGGCTGTTAGCATAAATTCAAACTTAAAAGATCATCAACCTAAGATAAATTTATGTATTTATAACTGTTGTTAAATATAAACCTCAAAGTAACCACAAAAGAAAAATCTATAATAGATAGTCTATATTTTTCAAAAAAGGGAAAGTAATATAAAATAATACTAAAATAATCATCAAATCATAAGGGAAGAGAGCCAAAAAAGAAAGGAACAAAAAACAACTACACAAACAACCCCAAAGCAATGAAAAAAAATGGCAATAAGTACTTACCTATCAAGAACTGTTTTACATGTAAATAAACTAAAAGTTTCAATCAAAAACACAGATGGCTGAACGTATACACACGTGTATATATACTGCCTATGATACTCAGTTTAGTGTTAAAGATACATACAGACTGAAAATGAAGGGATGGGAAAAGGTTTCCTATGCAAATGAATATGAAACAAAATCTGGGATAGCAATATTTATATTGGAAAAAATTGACTTAAAGACTGTAACAAGAGGCGAAAAAGCACTTTACATAGTGATAAAGAAATTGCTCCAAGAAGATGTAAAACTTGTAAACATATATGCACCTAGATATATAAAGCAAATATTAACAAACATAAAGGAAGACACTGACAGGAGCACAGTACCAGGAGATGATTTTAAACCCACTCACATCAATGGAGAGATCATCCAGACTGGCAATCAACTAAACCACCACCATCATACACGTTCACGCGCTCTCCTAAGGCATATCATTGTTAATCAGTAAGGCTTTCATCCACAGTTACCATATTAAGGAAATCAACCATGCATTCAGCTCCAAGAGCCACCCCCCGAAGGTAGCTTGCATTAGCTCTAAAATGTTAAATGTCCTCAGATGAAATGAAGTAACATATATATAATAGGCAGATATACTTTACGAAACCATATACATGTATTTTGAAACATAACTAAACTTAAGATCTTAACACATTTGTAAACATTATATTCCATATAATCAAGTCCTTTATATCCCAACATTTACAGAACACTATAATGAGTGGAGCAAGTTTATATTCCTTTACTACATTTAACAAATACATTTCAATGAAGATAACAATAAACATTATTCATCCTTTTTATAATTTTATTATCTATTATTTGCTTTGAATCATTTTTTCCTACTACGTAGTGAAGATAAAGAAAACATTAAAGGAAAACATGGTGTCCTTTATTCTACCATGAAGAATGATACCCACACCTTACTTAAGTACCTTAACACCTGCACTGTCAAAAACTAAAAAATATTTGCCTTGTAAAGAAACATATTTGCAAGAGTATTTATTTCCTAAATATTATTTTATTTGGAGACACATGTTTTGGTCTCAAACTCTACCTAAATTAAAATGTTTATTTCAATCACTATGACAAAACAAATGTTTTTTTGGCCCAGTCTAAATGCACAAATGTTCTTGCAAATGTTCCCTAGGCCAGCTGCTACTAACACTTCTTTGTAAACTTTCTTTACTAGAAATTTTGCCCCTCAGTTCAGTTCAGTTCAGTTCAGTTCAGTCGCTCAGTTGTGTCCAACTCTTTGCCACCCCATGAATCGCAGCAGGCCAGGCCTCCCTGTCCATCACCAACTCCTGGAGTTTACCCAAACTCATGTCCATCAAGTCGGTGATGCCATCCAGCCATCTTATCCTCTGTCATCCCCCTCTCTTGCCCCCAATACCTCCCAGCATCAGGGTCTTTTCCAATGAGTCAGCTCTTTGCATGAGGTGGCTGAAGTATTGGAGTTTTAGCTTCATCATCAGTCCTTCCAATGAACACCCAGGACTGATCTCCTTTAGAATGGACTGGTTGGATCTCCTTGCAGTCCAAGGGACTCTCAAGAATCTTCTTCAACACCACAGTTCAAAGCATCAATTCTGTGGCACTCAGTTTTCTTCACAGTCCAACTCTCACATCCATACATGACCACTGGAAAAACCATAGCCTTGACTAGACAGACCTTTGTTGGCAAACTAATGTCTCTGCTTTTTAATATGCTATCTAGGTTGGTCATAAATTTCCTTCCAAGGAGCAAGTATCTTTTAATTTCATGGCTGCAATCACCATCTGCAGTGATTTTGGAGCCCCCCAAAATAAAGTCTAACACTGTTTCTACTGTTTCCCCATCTATTTCCCATGAAGTGATGGGACCAGATGCCATGATCTTAGTTTTCTGAATGTTGAGCTATATAAGTCAACTTTTTCACTCTCCTCTTTCACTTTCATCAAGAGGCTCTTTTGTTCCTCTTCACTTTCTGCCATAAGGGTGGTGTCATCTCCATATCTGAGTTTATTGCTATTTCTCCTGGCAATCTTGATTCCAGCTTGTGCTTCTTCCAGCCCAGTGTTTCTCATGATGTACTCTGCATATAAGTTAAATAAGCAGGGTGACAATATACAGCCTTGACCTACTCCTTTTCCTATTTGGAACCAGTCTGTTGTTCCATGTCCAGTTCTAACTGTTGCTTCCTGACCTGCATACAGGTTTCTCAAGGGGCAGGTCAGGTGGTCTGGTATTCCCATCTTTTCCAGAATTTTCCATAGTTTATTGTGACCCACACAGTCAAAGGCTTTGGCATAGTCAATAAAGCAGAAATAGATGTTTTTCTGGAACTCTCTTGCTTTTTCGATGATCCAGCACATGTTGGCAATTTGATCTCTGGTTCCTCTGCCTTTTCTAAAACCAGCTTGAACATCTGGAAGTTCACGGTTCATGTATCATTTAAGCCTGGCTTGGAAAATTTTGAGCATTACTTTACTAGAGTGGGAGATGAGTGCAATTGTGCAGTAGTTTGAGCATCTTTTGGCATTGCCCTTCTTTGGGATTGGAATGAAAACTGACCTTTTCCGGTCCTGTGGTCACTGCTGAGTTTTCCAAATTTGCTGGCATATTGAGTGCAGCACTTTCACAGCATCATCTTTCATGATTTGCCCCTACTGGTTGTCTATTTGAAGACATTTGTAAAATGTTTATCTTAGAATATTGTACACATTTTCAAATGCATAATATTCTTTGTATTATTTATATGTACAAAAACATTTTCATATTCATGGCTCCTATTGGGTAGTGGATGAAATCATTTAAAAACAAAATGTAAGAAAGCTATTATGCTGATCAGTTCCATAAAAAGAAATAAAAATAAAATTGAATAAGATTATTTGCTTAAGAGCAGTAAGAAGACTAGTGTTTAAAATCATGATATACCATATCCTGTAGGAGTTGATAATCTATGTAGCTATGTCAGAACTTGTTCACATATATTTTGAACCATTAAACCTAATATAAAAGAAAGAGATTTAATGAGGCAATTAGATACTTAACAAATAGTTTGGAATGGCTAAAAATGAAGGCCTCAGGCTGGCCTTCCTGGATTGATTACCAGAATAGCAGCACAGAACTATCTTTCCAAGGAAACTCATATCTTTTCTTTAATCCAAAAGACAGAAATATAGAAGTTGTAACCTCAATCACTCATTTCAACTCTACCAGGATCCAGGAATCAGGAAATCTAACTACAGTCTGCAGGATAAAAATTTCTCAGTCTTGACATTGCATAAAAGGTTTACCTCTAATGACCACTAAGCTGGGGATTGAATGCTGGATTCCCTGTTATCACTGCTCCTTAATAATGCTTGCAAGGAAAAAAAATGATATCTCTTAATTATTTCTACCTTTTACATCTCAAGGTGGAAATAGGACAGAACATAAACTGTAAAGACACCGAGAATTACAGACCTGTAACCTCTAACACGTAGTAGTACCTGAAACAAATGAATTGGAATTGCACTGAGTGAACCTGGTAGAGGATGGGTATAAAAAAGCAATGCTCTTTCAGCTGCACAATTTTAGTTTTATAATGACATTTGTCACTAAGTGTACATTTATCAACTAATGATGCAAATTTAAATTTTGAATGGTCAAGTGAGACTACTCAAGAGAGTTATCGAGATAGTAATATATTCACGATGGAGAAGAAAATGGCAACCCACTCCAGTATTCTTGCCTAGAGACTCCCGTGGACATAAGAGCCTGGTGGGCTGCTGTCCATATGGTCGCACAGAGTCAGACACGACTGAAGTGACTTAGCATGCATGCATGCATTGGAGGAGGCAATGGCACCCCACTCCAGTATTCTTGCCTGGAGAATCCCAGGGACGGAGGAGCCTGCTGGGCTGCAGTCTATGGGATCGCACAGAGTCGGACTCGACTGAGCGACTTCACTTTCCCTTTTCACTTTCATGCATTGGAGAAGGACATGGCAACCCACTCCAGTGATCTTGCCTGGAGAAACCCAGGGACGGGGGAGCCTGGGGGGCTGCCGTCTATGGGGTCGCGCAGAGTCGGACACGACTGAAGCGACTCAGCAGCAGCAGCAGCAGCAATATATTCACGAAGCACTTTATGTTGTTGATTTAAACGGTCTCTCCTGCAGTGTGGCTGTTGTTTAGTTTCTCAGTCGTGTCTGGCTCTTCGGTGACCCCATGGCCGGCAGCCCGCTAAGCTCCTCCGTCCACAGCGTTTCCGAGGCACGAGGACTGACGTGGAGCGACGGCTTCTCTCCGCGGCCCGCGGCCGAGCCGCCGTGTCGTGACAACAGTGTGGGGCCTGTCTCCGCGACGGCGGGTGCGGCCCCAGGCGGGCTCGGCGGCCGCGTGGCAAGTGTCTGCCGGCGCGCGGCCCTTCCCTTCCTACGGGCGGCGCCGAACAGTGACGCGGAATAGCGACGCGAAGAGCGACGCGGAGCCGCGGGCGATGGCGGCCTCCACGGCCTCGCAGCGGCCTATGGAGGGGATCCTGAGGAACAAGAGCTCTACGACCTCCTCTGTGGCGGCCTCGGCCGAACATCCCGGCAAGTGTTGACAAGAGCTGAGTAAAAGGTCCCAGAAGTGGGATGAAATGAACATCCTGGCGACCTCATCCAGCAGACGAAGCCTATGGTTTAGTGAAGATAGACTGCCGAGTAGGCCTTCCCACAGTATGGTGGGTGATGAGGAGGATGTACTGAGTGATTCGGAAACCGGGGAAGCCCTGAGCCTAGATATCTTAGCTCTGAAACGAGCTGCTACTGCCGCTGCTGAAAGCTCCGAACCAAAGTATCGAGTTAGTGAACCAGAAAGCAGTGGAGATGAGGATCCTGACCTCTCACCTGAAGAAGGAGAGAAAAAAAAAGGGACAGTTTGAAATGAAAAGGAAGCTTCATTACAGTGAAGGACTGACTGTTAAATTAGCCAGACAGTTAATCTCAAAAGACCGAAATATGAGGAGGGGATTGAAGAAATGTCAGAGACTGCGGCTAGAGAAAGCATGGATATGGAAGAATCTAGTCAAGGATCTGCTACAAGTGACCAAGTGCAAAACAAATCAGAGTTCATAGAAGAGATTTTTTTCAACACAGTAATTGTCAAATACAAACTCTATTACTTTAACATACTGCTTCTTGTTCTCTACAATCATGACTTAAGTACCAAAATACACACCAGTTACTATATGTTGCGAAGAGTTAAATAACCTAAGAGACTAATTAGACTGAAAATGCCCAACTGATACATATATTCTTGTGTAGTACTTCAACATAAATACAGCATAATGTCATCCAAAACTACGTTACTGTTGTAAGACTACTGGTTGATTTGTATAACATATGTAGCTTTTCATGCTTTAGAAATTAATGTCTTTGGGAAGGGAGAGGGGATCTAATTTATTTTCTTCATTTCTAGATGTCACAGCTCTTATAAAAGGTTGGGTTTTTTAAAAAAATCAAAATTCAATTAGAACAACAGATCATATAGGCTGGTAAATATATTCAGTCTGAAAAGTATTTTAACACATGTCTTCAACTTGTCTGTTTAATTGAAAAGGATTACATTGTGAGTTACTGTTGCATTTTCTGGCATACTACCTTTAAAATTCTTGTTGAGTTTCTTTTATATTTAGAAGGAAAGGATTAAACTTTTTTCTCGTCAAAACTAGCTTTTTTCCATAAATAAATTATCAGATTAAATTTGCCGAAAAGAAAAGAAAAAGAATATTGAAGAGGGTTGCCATTTCTTCTTCAGGGATCTTCCTGACCCAGGAATCGAACCTGTCTCCTTCATTGGCAGGTGGATTGTTTACCACTGAGCCCTTCAATGAGAGGGCTTATACTGCTTAAATTAAATTGTTGCATGTGCACTAGGTCATCTTTATTTTAATAAATATTTTATTTGATGCTAATTATGAAATGTCTCAAACATAAGGTCAACCAGCTCGCACAATTTGTGACTACTATTCTTTACATAGACTTTTTACTGGAATAAAGCTGTACTGATTATGGTACCTTGTATATGACTAAGATTCTGCAACTATGCTGTTTGTTAATTTATTTGTTTGTTTTTTATGAATACAATAAAAGATGACATTATATTTTTCACCTAACCACCTTGAATCAGGATCATGCAACTCTTCAATTCTGCCTTAAAATGGTCATGCTGCCATTCCACACAGTACTGATGACAACATGCAGCTAGGTCTTATACAGCAGGAAACAGTAGATATCCTACATAGTTCAAAACATCCACACCAGATGGTTGGACATAAGCCTCACAAAACCAAGAGTGCTACCTCACTGACGTGTTCAGGGATTCTAATAGTTTGTATCACTTTGTGATAGTCTTTTCAAGTACAAAGATGAGTTTTTGTTGCTCATGATGGTTTAGTTGCTAAGTCGTGTCTGACTCTTGTGACTCCATGGACTGTGGCCTGCCAGGCTCCTCTGCCCACGGGATTCTCCAGGCAAGAATACTGGAGTGGGTTGCCATTTCCTTCTCCAGGGGATCTTTCCCACCCAGGAATCGAACCTGGGTATCTTCCCTGGCAGGCAGATTCTCGACCAACTTGAGTTATGAGGGAAGCCCTACTTGTTGCTCATACCCTCTTCAATTAAAACACAAGCCACACTTCCCAGGCCTTGATGTATACTCGGTGGTTATTGGAGAATACCTATTTATCAAGGAGCTCATAAACCGATCATCGTTGAGTGTCACCCAGAGCCTGAGAAGATTTTCTACCTGATTCAGTCTTCTTTGTGGGGAAGTCTAGCTCTCTGTTTTTATGACCCAGATGATTCAGTGATACTTGTTGAGTCTGTGAAAGTCAAGATACTCCATGGAGCCTGCTTAAAAGCCTGAAAAAGAATCCCACCCTTACTTAAAAAAAAAATTGTCCTTTCGGCAAATGCTTGTCTCATGTTAAGTCACTACTTCCAGTTTGCTGCTGGGTAGCAATCGATCTGAAAAATTGACCCAGTACTCCGTGTGACCAAAATACCTGAGCTCCTATTCAAAAATAAATACCAACAGATCCATGTTAATATTTGCATATACTCAGCTGCATCTCAGCATATAATGGAAGGAAATATGTGTGTAAGTTTGATTAGAGTAGTCACTGGGGGTTCAGTTAGGCTGCTAACGCTGGTGTTTAGCATGTCTAATGCACCTGATTCTGCTCCCTGCCACTTCTTTTTTTTACAGGGAACCATTAGAGACCAGTTAATTCAGATTTGTAAGTATTGCTACACGCCTTGTTGTGGGGAAATTAAGAGCATGGTACCAGTCAGGCACGCTCACCCCACGCTCTCACACCCTCTCACCCCATGTTCTGTAAACAATGACTTTGCACGGTTGTGTAATGACTGAGATCACCTATTGCAGTGCACATGCGTGTCATGAAGTACTCGGTTACTGACTACTCTGAATATGAGCTTCGCCATGAAAGCCCTGGCTGCTGCTGCACTGGGGCCACACTGGAGCGACATCGTAGTTCTGTGATATGAGGTTACGTTATGGCTACATTACGGCTGTGTTATAGTTAGGTTATGGCTGCCGTTCTGGCTGCTGCATCAGCCAGGAGAGAGACTGTGTGCCAGGAGAGACTGTCCTGTGCCAGCCAGGAGAGAATAAATGTGTCTGCAATTCCTACAGTGCCCCAACTCTTCTTCCAGCCTATTAGCTTGCACTTGGCCTACCCTGGTTTCAGCAAACAGTGTGAACAGCAAGACAACTGGTGTCATGAACAGGATCAGCTATACAATTGGTGTAGGTGGCAGAATACCCAGCAGGTAGGGGAGTGGGGATCCTCATTGAGAGAGAGAAAGAAAACAACAACCCATCAGATGTCCTGCAGGGTACATGGATGTTCTGGAGTGGGCTGCTTTGAAATCTGAATTGGACATGGGACCCTGCATCCCTTGTGGTAACCTCATGGCATGACTCTCATCCCTCCTTTGAAAGGGACATGTTGTCATCAGCTGTCCAATCTTCTCTAAAGAGAGCAGGGAAGATGGCAGAGTAGGATGTGCGCTCATCTTCTCCTATGAGAACTCCAAAATTACAGTTCATTGCTGAACGACCATCGACAAAACAATGTTGGATCCCACCAAAAAAAGATACCTCACATCCAAGGGCAAAGGAGAAGCCCCAGCAAGACAGTAGGAGGGGCAGAATCATGTTTAGAATCAAACTGCATACCCGCTGGCTCAAACAAAATTTTGTGTGCACCAGGACCCAGAGACCCCACAGAGACTGAGCCAGACCGCCTTTGAGTGTTTGAGTGTCTCCTGCGGAGGTTCAGGTCAGCAGCGGCCTGCCACAGGGGCAGGGCTCTGGGTGCAGCAGACCTGGTCACACAGCGTGGGGCGTAAGTCCTATTGGGAGATCACCATTAACCCCACCATAGAGCCACCAAGCAGATGATCCACAAACTGCAGGAGATTATACCAAATAAATTCTCGCACTGTTACGAAAGTTAAGAGAGGATTCTTTTGTGTCCCCGATTTCTTGTTTGTAGAATATAGGTTTCATTGAGCCTCCTTGAACTTCCTTGAGTTCCAAAGGATGAATTCAAACAATTCTTGATCGGGGAAGGAAAGGGATGCAGAAACAGGTGCAATCAAGAGGTGGTACAGCATTGAGGCAAGGCCCTCATTTTTACTCAAGGAATATGGACAACAATATCTTTGAGTTCTTCTGCAGAACTGGGGCTCTCATCCACGTGGAGGAGGGTAACTTCAGGCTGAGCACAAGATTTCTGGAGCAACACCCTACTACCGTACCGCCAATTAATCAGAAGAAAGTCATACACCCCAAAGCCCTTACCCCAATCTTGCCTTCCTGTTCTGGGTGCTGGTGATGACCACCCTGTTAGGCCTCCTGTTTGCTCCCTGAATGCATCACCTCTGATGTGTCCAACAGTTTCAGGCTAAACTGCTGTTACTGGGGGGGTGAATGCTGGTTTCCGGCACAGAACACCTTGACTTAGATCAGGTGGAGAGAGACTTCTGCTCTGTTAGGTAGGACAATACCCATGCCCAGATGGAAGAAGTTACAGAAGAAAGACACTCCCACCCCAATTCCCAAGGTGTATCTTGAGTATGAAGTCTCTCGGGGAAGAGTAAGTTGTTAAGGGAAACATACTGACTGAAATCACCCACCCTGGCCAGGCACCATCATAATCACTCACAAGAGTTATTTTGCAACAGAAGGTCCTGGGAAGGAACACGGAAATAACAAGCCACCACCAACTGGAAGAATTTGGAAAAGGTCAAAAGGAAACACCAGGTGTCCTACCGCATCTAAGAATCTTTCTCGCTGGCATCATCTTGGCTGAGCAATGCCTGTGCCACCAGGAAGGACCCTGAGTCTGTGATTGGCCAGAGAAATCTGGAAACTAATCCATCACCCTAAAATCCGAGACTGCCAGCCACAAGGCAGAGAAGTTCTTCTGCGTCCCCTCATCCTCCTGCTCTCCACCAGAGGGCCCCTTCCCAGTAAAGTCTCTTGCTTTGTCAGCAGGTGCGTCTCCTCAGACAATTCATTTCTGAGTATTAGAGCTCACTCTGGGGTCCTGGAAGCGGTCCCCCTTCCTCCAACAGGTACACCATTTCCATTCACCTATTGAAAGTCATCTTGGTTACTTCCAAGTTTTTGACCATTAGGAACAAAACTGCTGTAAACATCTTGTGGAGACTTTTGTGTGAAAAACTTTTCAACTCCTTTGAGTAAATACCAAAGAATATGGTTATTGGATTGTATGGCAAGAATATACTTAGTTTTATAAGAAATCACCAAAGTATCTTCCATGCTCCCAAAAAAGTATCTGTACCATTTTGCA